GATAAAAAAAAATCATCCGAAATTAAGCACCCCCTATAACAAAAAAGGGGTGCTTAATTTCGGAACTATACGGTATTAATTCTAGTCGAAGGATTTTAATGAAATCGGTAGGGTAGTTAATGGAATACTCCAGGCTATAATAAAACATAACCCACCTTTCAATTAACAACACCAGAAATCGGATTAAAATGAAGTGTTGGGTTCTATTTGACCCTAAAACTTGTTTATTATAAATTATACCACTAAAAAAAATGCTAAAAAATGCTAAAATTTGTAATTTTCTATTTTACACTATTTCATTTTAATCTGATTTCAGTTTAATCTGCCACGTTTGACGTTATGGGACATAGTATCCCATAACGTGATTTTCAAAGCAAAGATCCCACTTATTATTATTGGTGTTACTACTTTATAATGCTAATCTTTTATTTTTTTATTTATTCTTTTTTCGGCAAGCGCGTATCACATGCCACACGATTGTAACTAATTATCAATGTTACAAATGCATTTTTTTCTCTTATAGGGGTAAACTAGATCGCCACTGTCGACTGAAACTTTTAAGGATTTCATAATGTTGGTTTTATTAACAATTCATACCTTTTTTTAGATAGAATTAATCATTAACTTTATGAATTTTTAAGGCAATTTTAAAAGAAATTAAAGCAAAATTATATATATATAGTTTTGAAACCAACTTCAAAAAAAAAACTTTTCTTACCAGTTATTTAAAAACTACATTTATAAAAAAAAAATTCATAATAAATTAAGGCATGATTCAAAGATTTATATTTATTTTCATACCCATTTTATTGACTATGTTTTCCATGCTCAATGCAGTTTCATTTCAAAAAAGAACAGCTAATTTTCAGAAATGTTCTTCACAGCTAGATTCACTTGCTGTTACAATCCAGCCTGATCCACTTACTGTTATGAATCAGTCTAATTCATCTGCTGCAGGATATTTTAATATTTCTGGATCATTGTCGGAGACCGTTATTGATAATAATACCTTACTTGTTATTGGATTTGGAAAAGATACTGGAGAAAGTCTGTTAGCAACACCGTATGCTGTTTTAGCATGTCACGAAAATATTAAACCTCCTTGCCCAATTGATAGCAGAGTTAATTTTAATATGGAACAAGTTCCAGTTCCGATACTAACAGATTTAGTTTCTATACGTACATATGCAATAATCATGAGTATTGGGAAAATAGTAAATGAAACATTGGATGTCCATGCCTGTTCATATGCTAATTACACACAAATTGATTTTTGAATCTAAGTATTCTATAGCTGTGTTTTTCAGGTATGGTATGTATTCTGTCATATAATGAATTATGCTATATTTGCTATTTTTTATAAGTCTCCTTTTATAATGTATTGGTTAATTTTTAATTTTTTTATTTTTTTATTAGCAAAAATTATTATTGCAATAGAGTAAGATACTTTAAAGCGATATATAGTCATTTAATAATATAGTTTAATTAATCTGACTATAGAAAAATTTACACAATAATGCAATGATTTTACAGAATATTGCCATAATTGAGCTGGAATGTAGATGTAAAGTCGAGGACCTTTACATGCTGTTCTAAATCCAGGCGATGTCCGACTTCCCTGCTGCAATAACAATGATAAACAATCCTCTGCAGAAATTTCAATTAATCAGAAATTCGCTAAAAATATATACAGTCAGACCTCCCTAAATGCACCCCCCCTAAATGCACGCTCTATGAAAAGCCCTCCTAATTGCACGCTCTCACTTGGGCCCTACTTATAGATTTTTACCTCCCTAAATGCAATACCTCTTTAAATGCACGCTTTTCTAAATTTTTATATATGGTCCCGTCACAATGCATTTAGAGAGGTCTGACTGTATTATAATACGTATAATAATACGATAAACAAAGCTACCGTTACAAAAATATTAATTTACAAAAGTAGACTAATTAAAAAAAAAAGGTTACAAAAATAAATTAGCTTCAATGATATCTGAAGAACAGCAGGATCAGCATAAATGGAAAATATTAATGAGAATGCAGAATGACAACAAACAAATAATAAAGATTATATGAGTGTCGCCAAGAGAAAACCTGTCATCAGGCTTTCAATTATATTTTGTACCGGACACAATCCCTAATAAATTAGTTAGATTGTTTCTAGTACAAAATATAATTGAAAGCCCGATGACAGGTTTTCTCTTGGCGGCACTCATATACTAAATGTAGTAATGTTGAACCCGCCTTACTTCATCGGCAATCGTTTGGACGACAGCTCATTTAGCGACATCACTCCAAGTGACAATTTACTAAAAATACTCTATGTGGTGTCGACTAAAAGAATTTGTGAATGACTGTTAGTGAAGAGCAGCACCGAGTATTTGTGTATATAAATTCTCAAAAGGACAATTATATGTAACTCTATCTATGTCAATAGCTCCTGTCTAATTAGTTATTGCCTCAGATGCATTCTTGCAATCCGTGCGTAACAGTCATCTGAGGTACGTAAGTTATAATCTGACTTAAGATTATCTTTAAAATCAAAAAAGTTTTAACGAAAGAACACAATAATGTAATAATGTCATTGCGAGTAAAGGCATAAAAAGCCTAATTCTGTGTTTCTTTTTTTTTTTTTTTTTTGTGCTTTACTTTTAACATTAGCTATATTTTCTCTTTATTTCTTGCTGGCTTTATATCCCTTCGCTTTGACACTGACTTAGTTCTTAATGTCAACTAATTTCTCTCACATAGTTGGCTTATTTTTTGGTTTCATTAATACATTCAACATTGATTTAGTTCTTGGTGCTCACTAATATGTTTGACATCAGCTAAATTTTTGATGTTGGTTTAGTTCTTTGATTTAAAATATACTTATTATATAATTCTTGCTTATTTATTTAAAAACCTCTAATTTGTTTTAGCAAATATAAAATAATCTTAGTTTTGAAAATTAATTTTGAGAACATGTATAATAGAAGCTAAACAAATATTTTTAAGGAATTTTTAAAAATTTTAAGTAAAAATAGCTTTAAAAAAACTTAATAAATTTTTTAAATTAATTCTGCTAATAGATCTATGAATTAATAGCAGGTGATTAATACAATTATAAGATTGTGAGTTTGAGTTCTATAAATAATGAAAGTTTTGCCAAGCCACGATTAGGTTGATCTTCAAAAAACCCCCAAGTAGAGTTTGGAACCGGATTCGACCTTCGGATTTAAATCCGATTTCCTTCGGATTTGATTTAATTTCGGATATAAACCCGATCTATCGAATCTGCGATACTCACATTGTCTGTACAAATGCATAGGGGACAAAAGTATTCAACCACCAATAGAATTTCTACAAAATGTTTTGTTATTAAGTGATCGAATATTTTTCACTAAAGTGTATGTACATACATACATACAATGATGATACTATCAACCTAGGCACAACCGGATATTATCAAATAAATTCGATTCAAATCCGATGCATATTTTTATTAATTAAATTTAATCCGAATCGAAAAATGAAATCCGGCTCCAAACTCTACCTCCAAGATTCATACAATTGTTATAATTACAAGTTTAAAAATAATTGGACGAAATATAATTTATTAAAAAAGAATATTAGCATTAAAAAAATCTAGCTAAAGATTTAATAAAATAAGAATATTAATATAAATAGATAATTTTGCTGATGGATTATGTGAAGTTAAAAACTGCAAACTAAAAATTCTGCCAAATTTGTAATGTTTATTTAAAATCTTTATTAAATTTAATTAATTCTTGGTAATTTGCTATTGCTTAAAGTTATAAAAAATTTATTATAAAAAATTTTCTTAATTTTTATTAACTTACCTCATATAAATAGTTAATCAATAAACCTTTATATATATATACAGTATATTGTGTTTAGTTTTAAAAAGCGAAGTTTACTGTATTTGAATTGTTTTAATATGCTTTTTAATATAATAAAGCCAAATTTATTTTTTTAAAATAACAATTAGATGTTTATTGCGTAATTTACAGACTGCATTAGTTTATATAAAATTACAAGATAGTTCTATTATACTTATACTTGCTGCGAAACTTGACAATTGCTATTTAAATCAAACAAGTAATTTTAATATTTTGCAAATGTATTATCTATAGCTATAAGAGTATATACTATTTGTTTAAATAAAGGTTATTAATAAAATTTTTAAAATATTAATCTGGAATGAATTGGGATTTGGATGCGGGACTATAGTAATTTGGACGATAAGTATAATTATACTAAAAAGCACGTTAAGACAATTCGAATTAGCATAATTTAATAAGTGTATGTTTATTAGTTTACGAGTTATATAAGTTTAAAGTTCATTATAACGGTGCTAACAACCAATAGATTTTGCTATGTTTGTAAATCATATGACATCTCGCCCAAAGGCGTATCGGTATGCATAGTTTTTTCGAAAAGCATTGCACGATCTACCGGAGTTGAATTTTATTTGATGGATGCAGATTATATTAATTGCGAATTATGCGTTATTGAAACATTGAAACTGAAACGGGATATGCTCCCGGAGATAGCAAATAATATTGCGCCGGCCGGTGGTTTCCCGTCTGCGTAACGCAGCCTGGCCGCTAATATGAACATCAGTAGTTATAATTATGAAAATGGCAGATTCGTATTGAAACTGAAACGGGATATGCTCCCGGAAATAGCAATAATATTACGCTGGGAGATAACCGTAAGCAGTTGTTTATGCTGACCGGTGGTTTCCGCCTGAATAATGCAGGCCGGCCGTCAGTATTACAGCTGTTTTCATAAATTCTGGGACACCCTAAAAAAATTTGCCGAAGTCTATTCGGCCGAAGTCGATAAGTT